TTTTTTTTTTTGGCTGTGTTGGGTCTTCGTTGCGGTGCACGGGCTTCTCATTGCAGTGGCTTCTCTTGTTGCAGAGCACGGGCTCTAAGCACTTGGGCTTCAGTAGTTGCGGTTCATGGGCTCGGTAGTTGTGGCTTGTGGGCTCTAGAGAGCAGGCTCGGTAGTTGTGGCACACGGGCTTAGTTGCTCTGCGGCATGTGGGAACTTCCTGGACCAGGGCTCGAACCTGTGTCCCCTGCGTTGGCAGGTGAGTTCTTAACCACTGGACCACCAGGGAAGTCCCAACTGTCACTTCTGAAGACCCAGAAGCAAAAGCAGGGTGTCGGGAGCAAAAGCAGGATACTGTGCATGCCCGCTGCACACTACACCACCAAAGGGGTGGGCAGACTACCTAAGTCACCTCTCTGGCCCAACCGCTGGACACACCCCTATCCTCACCTCATATAAGGAACCGGCTCATTCCCCTCTGTCCCACCAAGGGAGTGAACACTCCCACCTGCAGCAGCAGGGGCCCTGAGTTTCTTGTCTGACCTCATCAATTTCTATTCATTAAGGAAGCCAAGGACGCTGGTCAGTAACATATAAGTATTGAAGGGAAGAATGGATGAGCTCTTTGTTTGTTTTCCATCTCACCCAACAGACTGTGAACTTCAGAAGGGATGTGACTGCATGTGTCTCGGTCACCCTGGGGTCCGCAACGTCCAGCACAGAGCCTCAGGCCTCTTTTCTCCTCCAGCAAAACGGTGCACCAGTGCCGGCCTGGATAGTGATGAGTGGAATCGCCCACCCACATGTGTGAGTGCCACGTGCTCCGGGATTGTCCATCTTGTTCTCTGCAGTGTCCCCACAGCCTAAAATAGCCCCTGACATACAGTAGGTGCTTGATACATGTTTGTGAAACCAATGAAGGAACACAGCTCTCCTGGGTGCATCTTCTCTTGCTCTGGAGGAAAAAAATAATTGCGCTTTCTTCCCTTCTCTGCACCTATTCCTTGTCACCTCTGGCCTCCTCCTCACTCGGGACTTAAACCTCAGGATGGAACCTTCCTTTTTGCTGCTTACTCTGGTGTAGACTGTCGGTGGGTGACTTAACTTCCCTGGGCCAGTTTCCCTGTCTGCAAAGCGGGAGACTATTTGTTGTTTTTCAGAGAGCTTGTTGTCAGTAGCCAAGGGGAAGGTTCTTGTCACGTACACAGTAGAAGCTTAATGTTTGCTGAAATATTCAAATGCTAGGGAACTGTAGGATGGCCCCCCAGTGAGCCGCGCTTCCTGGTATTCATGGTCTTGTGTAATTCTCTGCCTTGCCTAGGATGTGTGTTGAATTTAGTGATTCACTTCTAACAGAATACGGAGGAATAGACATCAGACATTTGGTTACAAAATGCCTTTTGCTTCCATCGTGGGCTCTCCCTCACTCGCTCTTACAGCAAGCTCTTTACCGACGTCTACACCATCCTATTCTGCTCGAGAAGCGCATGTGCAGGAGAACTGAGGCCTCCTGCCAACAGCCGCAGGAGGGAACCGGTTTGGAAGCGGCTCCTCCAGCCCCACTGCATAGCTTGATTGCAAGCTCATGAGAGACCCCGAGTCAGAACCATCCAGCTACACCACTCTCAAATTTCTGACCCTCCCAAACTGTGTGAGACCATGAATGTTTATTGTTTTAAGGCAGCAAGTTTGGGGGTGTTTCGTTAGGTAGAAATTAATAACAACACATGTACCCAAGAGAAACAAAAGCACAGGTGTACATAAGACCCGTACACACGGGACTTCCCTGGTGGTCCAGTGGTTAGGACTCTGCGCTTCCACTGCAGGGGGCTCCGGTTCGATCCCTGGTCGGGAAATTAAGATCCCACGTGCCGCGTGGTGCGGCCAAAACAAACAAACCAGCAGAAAATACCTGTACACACATGGTGTAGCAGCTTTATTGATAACATCTCCAAACTGGAAACAACCCAAATGTCCACCAACAAACTGAGTGGATAAACATAATTGGGTCCATCCATTCTCTGGAATATGATTCAGCCATATAAAAGGAAAAACACACAACATGAATGAATCTTAAATGTCTTATGCTGAGTGAAAGGCACCAGACACAAAAGAGGATGTACTGTATGATTCCATTTATATAAAATTCTGGAAAACACCCACTATGGAAATCTATAGTGACTGAAAATAGATTGCTGGTTGCCTGGGGCTGGAGGGTCGGGGTGGGGAGGGGCCCAAGGAAACTTTCTGGGGTGACGGAAACATTTGGTCGTGCCACACAGCTTGCGGGATCTTGTTCACTATCTTGACTG